CTTTTGGGTTGCCATCATTCTCCAATTGATTCGTTAATTACTACCTGTTTCGAGCACTGTATGAATTTGCCTATTGTGCGAGTTTACCTGGAGCAAAACGAGCTCGCCATGTGGATCCTGTACTTGGGCATCCAGCTCTTATTTCTGCCTTTGCAATGTTCAGCTTTTTTAGGTACACGTGTATACATGCTGGTACATTCTTGCCATTACAATGTGCTTCATGCGTTTGAGAAGTCTAATGTCTTGCAGCCAAGATGCTTCAGGAATTTGAACTGTGTGATGACTCACATGAGCATTGTTTGGCCGCTACACGACTAGAAGGAATGGGCTTACATGTGGAATGCTCAGCAAAAGCCTCAGCACGTTCTGAGGGGATAGAGTCGACATTCAAGGAGGATACTCTTTGTTGAGAGCTGCCACTTGGAAAGACGTTCTGCGAATTTGGAAGGACTGTCTAGCAAGTATCGAGGGCTTGAGGAAGACCATCTGCACTTGCGTACGGTAAGAACTGTGCTAGTATTGACAGTAGCGTTGAGTCATGTTCACCCTTTCCCAGACCTTCCAAATGTGATCAGTGATGATGGTTCTGTTGCATTTGCACAACATGTGGTGAAGCGTTTTGGGATTCAAGATTGAAGCACCAAGAGTCGAGCCCATTCAGCCCACCTGCCGGTCGCATGTCGGTCATGTTTTTGCTTGCAGGCAGCGTTCGCCGATGATCTGGCTGGACAAATGCTGCATCGTCACTGGGCGGGCACGTGAATAAAGCACGCATGCGCAATGGGCACGTACGTTTTCCAAGTTGGATATGTTTATTTCGAGCGACGACTTGCACTTGGAGTCGTAGCGATGCCGGCACATTCAATGCAACTTGCTGTGGTGTAAACACACTGACGCGTGCGGTCCAGGTCCCTCTGGCCCACACCAGGCTATCGGTTTAGTTGGTTTGCATCAGTTGATTGTGGTAATATTGTGGATGGACGAAATCCATTTCGCAGCACCTAATGAAACCCGGTGATTCCCTCGTAAATACCAACAAACAATGGTTCTCAAAGTGGTGGAGGAGTTCTTCCATCCATGGTATTGTCAGCTGCCATGGTGGAAGTGAATTGCAAAGTGGCCTCCTCCCGTTTTGAAGGGATCGCCTCCGTGAAAAAGTCATCGAGGGATGGGCATCCCAGTTCGGTATCATAGCAGCGGGGTATGGTGCGCAGTCTGTGCAACCGTGAGATGCTAATGGGAGGGGCGTCCACATTTGAAATATCAAATGTTTTGTGCATTGGCATGGACCACCGTTGGGAATGCAGAAGTTACACGTTCAAGTGTCGAAACTCGTGGTGAGGTTATTCTGTCAGCCGCCGTGACAACATGTTTACAAGTGTGTTGCGACGGGCCTTCAGGAGCGGTATGCGTCAGGGTTGTCCGGGTACATAAATTCTGGCAAGCATCCATACATAAATTATGGTGCATAAATTCTGTCCGGGTATATGACTAACAGGGACACATATCAAGGATTCGGTCGGTCCCGAAGCAAAGAATGCAGCAAAGCGTTGTTCGCCAATGCATGCGCTTTTGCATGAAGAGTGCGTTGGCTGAATCAGAGTTTTCTTGTGTTTGAAGAATGTGGTCGCATCCGAGCTACAGTTATTAATGTGCTGTATGTTTGCAGTGTTCCAGGAGAAGTTCGGAAGCTGTGTTTCATTATCGTCATCCTCAACAGGACCTTTCTAGGGGATAATTTTCCACCAGTAGCCTGACGCGAGACTGGTGTGTGGTTCACTCCCATTAAATATTAAAACGTTTGCTACATTTGCATTTGTGGAAACGCAGTTGGGAGTGGAAAACCAGGCCGCCAAAGCAACACCCGGAGCGATACGTTTCAGATTGCAAAGCAATACCCATGATGCCAAGCAAGCAGTTCTCCGCATGAAGAGGAGACCTTGTCTTCCGACGAGCTGGTCTCAGAGATGTCGCGTACGTGTGTGTGTGTGTGGGTGTGCTTGCCAGATTCCAGGGTTTACCTTGTGCTGGTTCTTTGCGTTGAGAATACTTTCTGCCTTTGTCCTTTTCTCACTTCCTGAGTTCCTGCACTTCATACTTTTGGGGTTTGGACCATTTGAGTGGCACACAAAAAGCTTGGACCTTTTTGGCGCAACCTACTTGATCGAAAGTGAGCTTGCTTTTTAGGAAGAGGTATCGGCCTTGGTCATGGAGCAGCTATTGAAAGCTTCTCGCTGAGGATCAGAGTGACATCGAGGCGGATCTTCGTTGCTGCCCGCCTCAAGGGGCCCTCGCTGGGAATTTTGGCATCCGCACCCCCACAAAATGGAGTTGGCGGAGGGATGTCGACCCCAACAAATCTTCATTCGTGGTGACCCAGTTTACCGTTTACGGGGAAGACTAGGAAAATGGAATGGGGGGACCCCCCCCCCCACTGCCCGAGGGGGATGAATTGTCGATGGATCTGCTTGGCATGTGGATTGAACATGTCACAAGACACCCACGAATGCAAATCCCGGAATCGAGTTTAACATTGACCCCATGTTGTACATTTAAATCTATATGGGTAGTCAAAATAGAGGGCCAAACATTTTGAGTTAAACTCAGTTTTTACCAGAGTTCCAATTTTGTGTGAATGAACCACTTGAACCACCCTTGCCGGTACCCTCCAAAAGACACCATACTTGTCTGAACGTCTTAAACCAGAGATTTTGGCACGGGCAATTCACTCAGCGACCTCACCGGGTCAGCCTCCACCCATCAGGAGCGTAGCTCAGGGAAGCCCAAAGCGAAGCGACCGGATCTAGCTTCAACCAAAAAACAAAATGTGGTAATATTTCGTCCTGGTTAAATTGTGTTCAATAACTATGGTTAGCAGGTCCGATTTAGTTGTGAGTAGTATTTTTGGCTAATCATGGTTCCAAAATGTGAATACCTGGTATTTCCTGGTCCCTAAGTGGCAAGTGAGTTCAGACCCGGATGCTTTTAATTATCAAAGCATGGCTATCGTAGTTTCCAGCTTCCGGCATGCATTTTGCCGAGCTGTGGCAGGTGCCAATTTATTCACAGGCCCCCATTGCTCTGTTTTGCGCTGACAAATGGTTCTCCACACAAACATGACCAACCCAAACATGGTTCGGCAGCCTATGTTTCTGTTCGCATCACTGTGTCACAGAGGGAGGACTGGCAGTTTCAATCACGGGCTCGGCATTTCTTTGGGGTTGCTGTGTTCTCTTTTCGACCCTTCGAACATCAAGTTGACTCCGTTTTCCAAAGGGCTTCTCGCACAGTTCCCTTTCTTTCCGCAAGAGGTTGAAAGGCAATCCCTCGGCTGCCGGGGATTCTGAACTCAACGGCACTTGCGGTTCTTCTACATGAGTCTTTTTTTGGGGTCACCTAACAGACACACCCATTTCTTCTACATGTTTGCATAAAAGCCAGTATTGGAATCAGAGTTGACGTTCGACAAGTCATACTAGCGTGCCTGGCATGCACATTTGACTCACATGATGGCTGTCCCGCAGGATCACCCAGAAATTTGCGCATGCGTCCGTGTTGATTCACATGGTGGATGTCTGTCTATGTTTGGCTCATGCACACGTGGGATCAGTGAGGATTTGCCAAGTCCGTTGCAGCTTCCCAAGGGCTAGCCTTCCGATCTCCGAGGTTTGCCCATCTTTCTCTCCGGCTGCCACGAGCTCGTGGTCTTTTGCAGCCCAGCTGAATCCTTCGAAACGTACCGTGACCCGCCCGGTGTTGGGCCTTCTCCCTGTTTGGTTGCTCACTTCCTTGGTCTATGAAGACTAGTGACTATAGTGTCATTTCAGCAGAGAGAGAGAGAGAGTGCGCATCTGGCCCATGTGCAAAGGGGTGCTCTAGTTTGGACACGTTGGAACACGTCTTTTGCAGTGCCTTTATTTGGCTGTGAGTTGCCAATCATACCCACACGCTTTGGGGAATTGTGCGACATGAATTCGCTGCCCATCAATGAATGCATTTCCGCGCGTCTCATTTCAATTGTAATTGTACAGTCGACCTTGACATGTCACATCAAATTTGCCTATAGGCACGTGCTCATATCGACCGTCCATGCAAATCGCTTGTCATATACGATGATGACCCTGTGGCTGACTGCAAGCTCCGTGTGTGTTCAGTACGCCCCTTGAACACAGTTGTAGCGCCTCGTCGACACTCATGACCGCCAGAGAAATTCATTAGACACCAAGGAGACCGGAGTCCATGAACCCTTGGCTGCTCTATATGTAACCTCAAACTTTCACCGAAAGGACTGTTTCCCTCGGTCAAATCGGAGTCAAACATGGGACACGTTGTGGTCAGCCCCTTGCACCTGCGCCTGGCACAAAGTCATAGGATCCTCGGCCAACCTCCCCGTATGATATTGTATCCCCCTGGTCTACAAACGACAACCTCAGCTGTCGGAAGCTGTTTGGGTAATTCCGTTCTTTATTTGTAAGACGGGCTGCGTAGGAGAGGCGGTGTGTGACTCTTTGCAGGTGGGCCGACTTATCTTAGCCGCCTTTGGTGTATCATGGAGCTATTCACCTTTGCGCCCTGGCTTGCATTTGATCACCCCAAAAAGCAAGCTGCGGAGAAATGTGTTCGGACTGAAACTGCTGCAGATTGCACAACGTGCCTTGAATCAGATGTCTCATCAAGAACACTGTCAAGTGTTTCTTGGATCAAAAGCACCATTATCCCAATCTGTGGGAGAGAGATCCTAGTGAACAATCCAGTATCATTTCTTTCTAAGCTTCAGTCGGTAGGTCACTTGCTGGGCATTAATGCAGTATGCTCAGTACCGAGGGATGGAGCGGGCGCAGGAGCTATCAGCGAAGATACCTGATGCACATTTGCAATGTTTCCTGCTTGGTTGCCAGGTTTGTTTGCGCCGCATGAATACGGGATGTGTGTTTTTTGTTTGTTCCGGCGGCGTTTGATGGCAAGTTTGGTACCTCCGTTCTTGTTCTCATTGCCACAGCAAGAATTCCTACAGGAAAGCCGAGAAATGCTGTGGCTGGGTCGATTGGCGCATGTGACGAGTTCCTGTGGTGTCCACGTAACTGTCCCTCGAAACAGCTTGCGAAGGGCGGCCCACAGCAATGCGCGTTGCATATATATATAGATATAGATATAGACGTATTCTTTTTTAAAGGCACCCTCGTTTGGTGGTTTTAAAGGGAAATCCAAAGGAAGACCCCCATTTTGGGGACGCCTAAAAAAACAGATATACATTTATACGTGTTCTAACAGGGCCTTAGGTTCATCACACACGCTACGGGTGTCTCGGGGGCCCAATCTGGCTACTGAGCTGATGGGAATACTCAAGTTGGATGCAGTTCGCCGAAAGTCATGCTATGCCGCACGCTTCGCCGAATCTTGTTTGACAGGCACTAGGCGATGTCGACATAGGCTAGCAGCCTCACGCATGAAGGTTCCCTGTTAGTTTGTGGTCGCCTTAGGTCCCTGACTTGCTGGCGCTCAGCAGGGAATGAGGGAATGACCCTTATAAACCAATACACCATCCCTTGTGGAATCCTCTAAGGGGACCCCTGACCTCATTCCCATTCCCTGAGCATCAGGCAAGCTTAGTTGCGGGCGGGGAAGTATGAACAAGTTTGCCAAGCCAGATGCGCTTCTCCAAGCCACACGCTGCTCCCGCGCTGCGTTCTGGGAAAGTCAGGCCATGAGCCGTTTCGGTGTAAGATCACACGGATGGGCCACGCTTGGCGGTTCATGGCTACGCTTCTCAGAAGGATTGCTTTGTCTTAGCAGCGGTGGGCCAGTTGCAGGGCTAATTTGACATCAGATGAAACCAATTGGCACTTCTAAAAGCCTACGTGGTGAGAATATCAATGCTGTTGCTGAACGCTGGCTAACCAGGGTCCATTGTGTGTGTGCGCTTGATTTGGTATATGGAAGCCAAGTACCATCCCACGAAACATGTTTGAAGTGGATGCTTTCTGCAGTTGATGGATTTGGCGACTTCATACAAACTATGCTGCACAGGGCAGATCTTTCTGCGCAACGTGAAACATTCGGGCTGGGTCACCTTCCTGGTCGGTGTTCTGCTTTTCACAGATCGTTAGCCCCAGGGGACTTGCAATTACACTTGTGCAACAGGTCACAATGGTTTGTCTCCTGTTTTGGGAACCCCCAAAAAGTGTGGTTTCCTTTTGGCTTCCCTTGAAACCCAACATAAACCGTCATAAACCCACACGACAACCATGGTGTTGTGTTTTTAAAGGGACACCAAGGCAACAGCCGCCATTTTGCTGGGGTCCCCCTGCCAACAACAGACCCATATTGTTTCCGCGGGGAAGACAAAGACGTGAGGTGCACATTGGCTGCAAGCTCCACGAGATCAACGTCATCCCTCTACTGCGGAGAGGCGAGATCTCGGAGCGCGGACTGCTTTGGGTACAGAGATCCGAAGATGTTGGTTCGAAGTGGTCTGGGCGTGTCTTAGAATAGGGGAGCCCCGCAAAATGGCTTTAAAGTATTGCTTCTGGTTCCCTTTTCTAACCCTCCCCCAAAAAAAATATCTGACCCGCAAAAGGGACAGGTCCTATGGATTTGGTGGTGACCAAGGGGGTTACCCTGTGGCCATCACCCGGGTGTTGCTTGCTGGTAGATTTGCTTAGGCACCTCTGGAAGATGTGTTTAGTGCGCGATGTTGTTTGTTTGGTTGGTTGTTTGCATGTTGTTTGTTTGCTGTATGTTGTTTTGTTTGGTTGTCGTGTTTGCGTGATTGTGTGCGAGTGTGTCTGTGTGTGTGTGTTTGCGAGCTTTCTTGCCTGCTGGCTGGCTGCTTGCTTGCGTGCTTGCTTGCTTGCTTGGCTGATGGGTTTGCTTGCTTGCTTGCTTGCTTGCTTGCTTGCTTGCTTGCTTGCTTGCTTGCTTGCTTGCTTGCTTGCTTGCTTGCTTGCTTGCTTGGCCGATTGCTTGGCCGATTGCTTGGCCGATTGCTTTGCCTGCTTTGCTTGCTTGCCTGCTTGCCTGCCTGCCTGCTTGCTTGCTTGCTTGCTTGCTTGCTTGCTTGCTTGCTTGCTTGCTTGCTTGCTAGCTTGCCCTTGTTTGACTTGTTTCCTTGGTTGGCTGGTTGGTTGGTTGGTTGGTCGTGTTTATGTTTCCATGTGTGTGTGTTTGTTTGTTTGTTTGTTTGTTTGTTTGTTTGTTTTGTTTGTTTGTTTGTTTGTGTGTTTGTGTGTTTGTGTGTTTGTCTGTTTGTCTGTTTGCCTGTTTGTCTGTTTGTGTGTTTGTGTGTTTGATTGTTTGTTTGTTTATTTGTTTGGTTGGTTGGTTGTTTGTCTGTTTGTTTGTTTGTTTGTTTGTTTGTTTGTTTGGCCCCGATTGCCCTGTGCCGGTCATCCCGTGAGCCTGTGGGTCTGTTCTTGCATGTCCCTCAAATATAGAGCGGGATTTCTTCTCAAGTTCCGCATGTCCAGTAGGGTAAGCAGCATATTGATGCGGGCTGAGCAGAGTTGCTTCCACCTTAGACGTGGTTGGCCCCCCGGGTGTTTGCCTAGAGAAACCTCAAGCACTTGCTCTGTGATTTTAGGGTTTGCGGGAGTCTTATGTCTCCCAGACGACATAAGCACTGGAGAAATGATTGCAACAAAAGCTTTGCTGAGATCAACATCAAGCAACCTAAACCAGCTGGCACCCGACATAAGACTGCAACGTGATGAATGTGTTTTGGCCATCAAGAGTCCTCCCTTTTTGGAGAGTAAATTTCTTCTGGATACGCGCGCACACTGTTAAACAAGAGTGTGTTGGCTGTTTTGTTTCTACCCTCCAGCAAGCATGAAAGCATTCAAAGGGGCACGTGAGCAAGAGTATCTTGTTCGAGTCTTTGATGCTTGCGTGTTCACATGTTAAGCAATCAGGCGTGCATAGAAAATGAACTTGTTCTTATTTTCAATGCGTGCAAATTAAACGCACTCGCATATGTAAATGTGAATACACTTGCAAATAAAACATTTCAATACAAGTAAGGTCCGGCAGAGCCGGGGGGCGGAAGTTTCAAAGCAGTGAACAACTATAGTTTGGAGAACTGTCCTTGGCCCCTTGCTTCTCTCTCTCTCTCTCTCTCTTTTTCTCTCTTTCTCTCTTTCTCTCTTTCTCTTTCTCTTTCTCTTTCTCTTTCTGTTTCTCTGTCTCTTTCTCTCTCTCTCTCTCTCTCTCTCTCTCTCTCTCTCTCTCTCTCTCTCTCTCTCTCTCTCTCTCTCTCTTCTCTCTCTTCTCCCCTTTCCAAAGCTCCCAACGAGCGCTTCAAGTTCAACTCTCCTCCCTCCCCCCCGAGAGCGCCTTTTCTTTGCGTCTGCCCAAGCCGTGCTGTAGTCTGGGCTGGAGCACGCGGCCCGAAACGGCACGCGTGTCAAGCGCAAAAGCTAGGCTTTTCTCTTCGTCTGCTTCAGCGGTGCAGCAGTCCGCGCGAGCGCGCGGCCCGACGCGGCACGCGCCGACACGAACGCGCGGCCCGAAACGGCACGCGCGTCATCAAGCACGAAAGCTGGGCGAGGTCAAAGCCTCTTTTACTCTGGCAACCTTAGTCAACGGAGTCATTGCCATGGCGTCTTCCTGAAGACGCTTGATCTCAAGGCTGGGCTGGGAGTCCAAGGAAAGCTGCCACGCCCGACGGCGGGCAAACGGCTCGATATCTCCGTCCGCAGCCGGAAACTGGAAGATCACCTGCCAGTGACGCAAGGAAGGCTCGCCGTCCGTGTCGAACAGAACATGAGGCTTTGCAACCACCCGCAACAGCGTGTCAGGCCGCTGTCGCGCGATGGCCAAGCTGTCTCTGACGCTGACCACCCACATGAGGTCCGCGCGGATATCTGGCTGCGTGGCGTCTGCGCACTCGAAGATGATTCGCACTCCGCGCTCGGCTTCGTTGCACTCCTGCACAGGATCTTTGGCCGTCACTCGCAGTAAGAGCTCCGCGTACTGGACTGGCAGATCCTCACCTGCCGTAATTTGCCCTGCGTCATCCAAGTTCGCGTCTGACAAGTAGATGCATGGGCAGCCCGGGAGTGAGGCGGCCGCGCGCAAGCACAGGAGTGGCTTTGCTGAGCCCGAGTAGGTAAGCGGAGCCTCGCGAACATGCACCACTTGCAAGGTGTTGCGCGCGGCGCGAGAGCCAGTCGGTCCAGAGTACGCTTCGTCGTGCGCCACGACGAAGCGCACAGCCCACTTGCGGGCTCGGATCTCGTGCTCCGCATTCTCTCGCGCGACTGTACCGCGTCGCCCGGCCGAAACGCCAAGGCAGCACGCAGCACTTCGTCGACGCACTTGGTAAAGATCCTCGCGTCCAGCGTGGCCGTGTGATCCCACACAGTAGCCTCCAGGCTGTAGCACGGCCGGACGCCAGCTTCGTCGTGTTTGTCGCAAGTCTTGCGAAAGCAAGTGGCGCAGCCTGTGTAGTGCCAAGAGTCTTCCGGCACCCGGGACAAGGTCTGCAGGTGAGCCAGCGTGCAGAACGGTGCCTCCCACACGTCCTCGTGAGAGAACTTCTTCGCTTCGGCCGCCGGCAAAAAAGCGCCGAGCGTCGCCAGCGAGACCAAAGTCGCCGGTCCGGCGCCGTAGTCTCGCGCGGCAGCGCCGCCAGCGCGCAGGGATAGTGTCTTGCAGCGCTCGCGGCCAGCTATGTTGGCTCGGCACGCGCCGACACGAACGCGCGGCCCGAAACGGCACGCGCGTCATCAAGCACGAAAGCTGGGCGAGGTCAAAGCCTCTTTTACTCTGGCAACCTTAGTCAACGGAGTCATTGCCATGGCGTCTTCCTGAAGACGCTTGATCTCAAGGCTGGGCTGGGAGTCCAAGGAAAGCTGCCACGCCCGACGGCGGGCAAACGGCTCGATATCTCCGTCCGCAGCCGGAAACTGGAAGATCACCTGCCAGTGACGCAAGGAAGGCTCGCCGTCCGTGTCGAACATGAGGCTTTGCAACCACCCGCAACAGCGTGTCAGGCCGCTGTCGCGCGATGGCCAAGCTGTCTCTGACGCTGACCACCCACATGAGGTCCGCGCGGATATCTGGCTGCGTGGCGTCTGCGCACTCGAAGATGATTCGCACTCCGCGCTCGGCTTCGTTGCACTCCTGCACAGGATCTTTGGCCGTCACTCGCAGTAAGAGCTCCGCGTACTGGACTGGCAGATCCTCACCTGCCGTAATTTGCCCTGCGTCATCCAAGTTCGCGTCTGACAAGTAGATGCATGGGCAGCCCGGGAGTGAGGCGGCCGCGCGCAAGCACAGGAGTGGCTTTGCTGAGCCCGAGTAGGTAAGCGGAGCCTCGCGAACATGCACCACTTGCAAGGTGTTGCGCGCGGCGCGAGAGCCAGTCGGTCCAGAGTACGCTTCGTCGTGCGCCACGACGAAGCGCACAGCCCACTTGCGGGCTCGGATCTCGTGCTCCGCATTCTCTCGCGACTGTACCGCGTCGCCCGGCGCGCCAAGGCAGCACGCAGCACTTCGTCGACGCACTTGGTAAAGATCCTCGCGTCCAGCGTGGCCGTGTGATCCCACACAGTAGCCTCCAGGCTGTAGCACGGCCGGACGCCAGCTTCGTCGTGTTTGTCGCAAGTCTTGCGAAAGCAAGTGGCGCAGCCTGTGTAGTGCCAAGAGTCTTCCGGCACCCGGGACAAGGTCGTCAGGTGAGCCAGCGTGCAGAACGGTGCCTCCCACACGTCCTCGTGAGAGAATCTTCTTCGCTTCGGCCGCCGGCAAAAAGCGCCGAGCGTCGCCAGCGAGACCAAAGTCGCCGGTCCGGCGCCGTATCTCTTTATCTTTCTTGATTTCTATTTTTCTATCTCTTTCTCTCTTTTTTCTTTCTATCTATTATCTATCTATTCTATCAATCTATCTATCTATATGTATCTATCCATCTGTCTCTCCATCTATCTTCCGCGTATCTATCTCCTCTATCTCTACTATGTCTCTCTCTATCTATCTATCTCTCTATCTATCTATTTCTCTATCTCATTATCTCACGTGTATTTCTCCATCTTTTTATCTCTTTATCTATTTATTTATATTTATAATTATCTATAGATCTACCTATCTATCAATCTCTCTATCTACCTCTCTATCTCCTATCTATCTATCTACCTCTCTATTTATTTATCTCTCTATCTCTTTATCTATCTAGCTAGTTATTTGTCTATCTATCTACAAATCTATCTATCTCTGTCTATCTCTGTTTCTCTATCTCTTTCTATCTATCTCTCTAGCTATCTCTATATCTGTTTATTGATCTATCTATCTACCCATCTTTCTCTGCACTTAAAAGTTGCGATGTTCAATCCCCGAAAGTTGACTTCGCGTACTACTTTCGTACTTAAAAGTTGCGATTTTCGAGCCCCAGCTGCGAAACTGGACTTCACGTACTACTTTCGTAGTTAAAAGTTGCGATTTTCGAGCCCCAGCTACGAAAGTGGACTTCGCGTACTACTTTCGTACTAAAAAGTCGCGATTTTCGAGCCCCAGCTGCGAAAGTGGACTTTGCGTGCTATTTTCGTACTTAAAAGTTGCGATTTTCAAGCCCCGGCTGCGAAAGTGGACTTTGCGCACTACTTTCGTACTTAAAAGTTGCGATTTTCAAGTTGACTTCGCGTACTACTTTCGTACTTAAAAGTTGCGATTTATCTATAGATCTACCTATCTATCTACCTCTCTATCTCCTATCTATCTATCTACCTCTCTATTTATTTATCTCTCTATCTCTTTATCTATCTAGCTAGTTATTTGTCTATCTAACTACAAATCTATCTATCTCTGTCTATCTCTGTTTCTCTATCTCTTTCTATCTATTTCTCTAGCTATCTCTATATCTGTTTATTGATCTATCTATCAGTCCATCTTTCTCTGCACTTAAAAGTTGCGATGTTCAATCCCCGAAAGTTGACTTCGCGTACTACTTTCGTACTTAAAAAGTTGCGATTTTCGAGCCCCAGCTGCGAAACTGGACTTCACGTACTACTTTCGTAATTAAAAGTTGCGATTTTCGAGCCCCAGCTACGAAAGTAGACTTCGCGTACTACTTTGGTACTAAAAAGTCGCGATTTTCGAGCCCCAGCTGCGAAAGTGGACTTTGCGTACTACTTTCGTACTTAAAAGTTGCGATTTTCAAGCCCCGGCTGCGAAAGTGGACTTTGCGCACTACTTTCGTACTGAAAAGTTGCGATTTTCAAGCCCCAGCTGCGAAAGTTGACTTAGCGTACTACTTTCGTACTTAAAAGTTGCGATTTTCGAGCCCCGGCTGCGAAAGTTGACCTTGCAAAAATGCTGCGCCTGCCACCAAATCTGTGCTTGACCTTGCTAAAGTGCTGCGCCTGCCACTAAATCTGTACTTGACCTTGCGAAAGTGCTGCGCGTGCCACGAATTTTGCACTTGACCTTGCGAAAGTGCTGCACCTGCCACAAATTCTGTACTTGACCTTGCGAAAGTGATGCGCCTGCCACGAATTTTGTACTTGACCTTGCGAAAGTGCTGCGCTGCCACGAATTTGGCACTTGACCTTGCGAAAGTGCTGCGCCTGCCACGAAATCGATACTTGACCTTGCGAAAGTGCTGCGCCTGCCACGAAATCTATACTTGACCTTGCGAAAGTGCTGCGCCTGCCACGCAATTCAAACCTTGCGAAACCTTCGCGCGGCCGTGCCAATGGGCCCGTCTCCGAACCGTTCCGAGACCGTTCCGAGACCGTTCCGAGACCGTTCCGAGACCGCCTCCGTACAGGCGTCGCAGCCGAGGTGGTTTGCGCACAGTCCGGAAGCCCAATTCACGCACAGCGCCAACGTTTTCTGCATCTTGCCATCCCCCAGCTCGCAGAGAGTGGACGCAGCACCTTGCGAAAGTGCTGCGCCTGCCACGAAATCGATACTTGACCTTGCGAAAGTGCTGCGCCTGCCACGAAATCTATACTTGACCTTGCGAAAGTGCTGCGCCTGCCACGCATTTCAAACCTTGCGAAACCTTCGCGCGGCCGTGCCAATGGGCCCGTCTCCGAACCCGTTCCGAGACCGTTCCGAGACCGTTCCGAGACCGCCGCCGTACAGGCGTCGCAGCCGAGGTGGTTTGCGCACAGTCCGGAAGCCCAATTCACGCACAGCGCCAACGTTTTCTGCATCTTGCCATCCCCCAGCTCGCAGAGAGTGGACGCAGCACCTTGCGAAAGTGCTGCGCCTGCCACGAAATCGATACTTGACCTTGCGAAAGTGCTGCGCCTGCCACGAAATCTATACTTGACCTTGCGAAAGTGCTGCGCCTGCCACGCAATTCAAACCTTGCGAAACCTTCGCGCGGCCGTGCCAATGGGCCCGTCTCCGAACCCGTTCCGAGACCGTTCCGAGACCGTTCCGAGACCGCCTCCGTACAGGCGTCGCAGCCGAGGTGGTTTGCGCACAGTCCGGAAGCCCAATTCACGCACAGCGCCAACGTTTTCTGCATCTTGCCATCCCCCAGCTCGCAGAGAGTGGACGCAGCACCTTGCGAAAGTGCTGCGCCTGCCACGAAATCGATACTTGACCTTGCGAAAGTGCTGCGCCTGCCACGAAATCTATACTTGACCTTGCGAAAGTGCTGCGCCTGCCACGCAATTCAAACCTTGCGAAACCTTCGCGCGGCCGTGCCAATGGGCCCGTCTCCGAACCCGTTCCGAGACCCGTTCCGAGACCGTTCCGAGACCGCCTCCGTACAGGCGTCGCAGCCGAGGTGGTTTGCGCACAGTCCGGAAGCCCAATTCACGCACAGCGCCAACGTTTTCTGCATCTTGCCATCCCCCAGCTCGCAGACAGTGCTTGCGAAAGTGCTGCGCCTGCCACGAAATCTATACTTGAGAAAGCTATCTACGTGTTAAGCTGGCTATATGTCAAAGCTATCTATCTGTCATGCAAGCCTATTGGAAAGCTATCTATCTGTCAAGCTAGCTATATGTCAAAGCTATCTATTTGTCATGCTAGCTACCTGTCATAGCTATATGTCAAAGCAGCTAGCTCATTTAGTTCCAGTACTACGGAAGTTTCTTGTTAAACTTCCTTTAATTACAAATCGACATGATTCCCAACTTGAATGGTACAAAGTACCATGTGCACAATACATACACTTGTGCAAGTGCGTCAAATTCTGGCATTCCAGATTCGAAATGACTTTTGTTGTTTTTCGACCCCACCCCAGTCTTCACTTGCGCATGCTCCAGCTTACTTGTGATGCAGGCCATATCGCAGAGGACCGCGCGGCGTTGCGCGACTCCTTCCTGAATTTCGATGTCATGAACTGCGAGCCTTGGCTAGAGACATCCTCAGATCTGATTTACTCCAAATACTGTACCCACAATTCCTTGTATCGTGTCAGCTCTCTAAAAAGGGAGACACGGAACATAAGTTTTTATTTTAATTGTTTAGGGGAAATCTCACAAATGCCCTAAACCAAAAAAGGCAGGGGTATTTCTCCAACAGATCCACAAGCGCAAGGGGTGCATCATCGGAATTTGTTGGGACTGTAAAAACTTTGGCTGCCGAAAGCTTTGGCAGCGGATGTTGAGCCAAACGAGATGTGTTGTTCCTATTTGCACGGCTCCAGTTGCCTTTGGTTGATTTGCTGGTCATCAAGTTTGCGAGCTTTTCAGGCCGCTCCGCGTTTCGCCACTTGGCTGTGTCTTTCAGGGCACTCCCCAAAATGGTGGTTTTCAACCCCAATGGGTATACGGAGCCTCAAACAAAGATGACCCTTTTGAGTTTCTGCAGCTCGCATCTCACAGTTGGGGTAGCGCTCCGGACTGGTCAATGACTGTCCTTGTGGCGAGTGGGTTACAGAATGTCAACCATTCAAATCGTGCGAATCCGTTGCCGCGCAAAGTAAGGGGTACGAGGGTGTGTGAGTGGTGTGAGTGGCGTGACTCGACGTTTCGCAGAAGTGATTGGCACAGCTGCAATAAATTCAGCAGTCTTCAGGAATCAACCAATGATCACGAGCCACGGAAGAAGAAAAAAAGATAGGTAGTCGCCTCTAGGCGCTTTCTTGGTTGCCATGGCAAGTTTCAAGCAACCTTGTGACGGTTTTCTTGTGGACGCGGCTTCCGCCGCCTGCGCGTCCCAGTGGCCCAGGACTGCTTCAACACCGCCGACAAGGACCGATTTGTGCGAACTTGGCCGATGGCAGATAGGATTACGTCGACCACAGTTATCCCAATTTTTGGGCCATGAGTCCCAATGCGTTTTGAGAGTCAAGGGCAGAGGGCAGTGACTTGGCCTTTGTAGTCGGAGAAAAAGCGGCTTCACATGCGCACTGTTTTGAAACAATCCGGGTCCTACAATGGGGAGGGGGGTGGCGATATTTGTTTTTTTGGATGAGTTCTAGGGGTCCCTTTTTGGGGCGAGGGGTGGGGCAAGTAGGTTTTGCCGGGGCTCGTGTGATCGCACCGATGGTGGCCTTCCGAGATGTTTGCCTGGTTCTGTCAAAACCGCACCTCAAAATGCTTGTCTGCTGGTATTGTTCTTTTCGTTTTCACTCGAACGTTCTCATTGCTTCACTCAGCAGGTATACACATGCATGTTGATTCCAGGTTTCCGATTTAAACTTTGATCAGGGCTTTGAGCTGTTCACTCTGTCGCCAAGTTGTGAGCCCTTCTATTGTTGATATGCTCTCTTAATCCCTGGGGCTGCGTAGGGACAGGCAGCGGATGCCGGTGGATCAACATGGATCCCCATGGACAGGGTTTCTACACTTTGGTGTGAGGCCCAGAGGCCTAAACGGGAATGCTACAATCCGTTTGAGGTGGTCAATAGGCCGTTGGTCAAACCAATGGTACCATTTTGGGGTAGGTGCACCACCCATTAGAAAACCCATTGCAGTCATGGCCTTAGCGCCGGTTTTGCTTTGAGCGTTTGGCCAACACGCACAATACCACACAGTTTGCATGTGGCCATCACCAGTTTGACTGGCTAGTGGATTTGTTTCTCTTGGGGCTTGAGCTAGGATAAGATGCTGGACATTATCCAGACCGCTTTTGGGGACCTCGAGCAGTTCAACGACTCGGTGCGTTCTATCCTCAATGACATCGATTGGATGCGCACCTGCACCCGGGAATGGCAATGGAGGGATCCCTATGCAGTGCCGGACGATAGCCCCATCCCTTCCATCCCTTCGCCGAAGAAGCACTTTCTGGATCTGAATGTCACCATGTAGACATGGCTTGAAAAGGCCGTGCAACATGGAAAGGGAACTTGACACTATTTCTTCTCACCGCGGCTTTCCCACCTTGTGGACATGCAGGGCATGTCCTGGGCTCGCCTGGCGGAAATGCACGTGCTGTACAGATGGCCAGTGTCAGACTGAAGGTGACACAGAGCCGCTTAATTCGAGGAGGTAATTCCGCACACATGTTCGAAAGAGCCAAACTCAGAGACCCGATCGAAGTTGATGTTGGTCAAATTCTCCCAGGGGAGATCTGTGGAAGACTTTTGCCCACAGCCCAGTTTGCCCGGATTTGGGCAGTGCCTAGTTCTTCGACCGCGTGTCACGGCCATGTTTTATTTAGACTGCTCTGCAGTATCAGGCCGAGTGAGCAATTTGAAAAACCGGCACTTGGCCAACCAATAAAAGACGTAATTTAATGCCCGTGCCAAGAATTTCAATGGCAAACAAATGGTGTTTGGCCCCCTTCAATAGGATTGACCAGTTCTATTGGCTCAGGTGATGTATTTGCTCGACAATGTTACATGAATCATTTGGACCCCTCCATGTAAGGTCCGTGTTTTTAAAGCCTTCGGAAAAATCCAGCTCTTCTTGGCACGCGGGTAAGAATAGAAGGCGTGGATCTCTCCCGAAGCGCAAGCAGCCGTTTCGGTCCTAAGTTCCAAGTGCCGAAGAAGCCCCATGTTACTGGCCGAAACACGAGCCTGTGCGGCATGTTTGGGGCCGTAGCTGAGAAATGGAACTGAGACCCCCAGTGCAGGTAACACTTTGCGCTGACAGTGCAGACTAATGTTCACGTTGGATTTATAAATCCCTCCCCTACTGCCCCCATTTGTAATCAGTGGTAGCTATTAATCCCATGTGAACATTAAAGTTCAAGATCCTGAGTCAAAGCTGACTTGCTTTGTTTTTCTTGCTTGGCATCCCATGCAAATGAGGCCGGATCCTGACCCACCCCCCCTCCCACCTTTCCTGCCCTTTGCCCCACTCCTCCTAATGTCTGCCCTGCAAACTGCCTGCCCATCGCCACCACCGCGACCCACGAGGTTTCATGATGCCATTTTGTTCTGCTTGTTGTTGCACTTTGTCGTTTTGCTCTTCTTCTCCACTCTCCTCGTGGCTTTTTGCTTTCTGCCTTCCTCGTTTCGCTTTTTCCCGCTGCTACTCCGTCAACCTTGTTAATTAAAGTGAGGCAGAGAAAGAGAGAGAGAGAGAGAGAGCGCGAGAGGCAGAGAGTGAGAGAAAGAGAGAGAGAGAAACAGAGAGCGCGGGAGGCAGAGATAGACAGAGAGCGAGAGAGAGAGAGAGACAAAAAAGAGGACAAAGCACTTAACTACACAAGCCACCTACCTTCTCGCTGCAGCCTTTAGACATAGTCTTTCCTTACAGCGCTATGCCCGTCAGAGGATCTCTCAGAATTGCTTCTGGCTGAAGCGTTTGCTGTTCACTGCGTTTTCAGCTGAAGAGATAAAGTTTCCGGAGCCTTTTGAACAGGACTTCTCGCAAAAGCACCTGTCTTGAGCAGAGTCAGTGAATCCCTTAAGTGGTACCCGAAGGGGCAATGGCCGCGTGGCGTCTCTGGTTTCGTAGGGTTCGTGGGGAGCATTCGGCTAGGGGAGCAAACCTGGATGTTCGCCCCCCTTAGCAAGTCGGTTATAAATGTGGCTATCAGGGGACCAACCCCAGTTACCCAAGTTATAACCATGGGACCAGCCCCAGTTACCCCAAGTAAAAAACCATGGTTATAACCTGCTTACTAAGTTGGTCAGACATCCAAGAAGGGACCGCCCTCTACACCTGGAGTATTTCAGGAGTTCAGGAGGCGGCCAATTTCAGTAGCCGGCTGAAGTTGGTTCACCACTTTGACGCGGGAGATATGGTTGGCCTCCCCCAATTCATAGAAAAGCATTGAACCTGGAGGCCCCCTCAGACAACACACTCTTGCAAGGCCATGAATTTGTTGTAGCTTGGCATCAAAGAACTCAAGCCCATGCTGCTCAAAACCATTCAAGTTGAATCGCCCAATGGCTCCGAACGGCAACATGCGATGCTTCCAAAGTCTCCTGGGCTGATGGCTTTGCTTTAAGAGCGCTATCTTTGGAGCCAAGCAAGGGATGCTTGTAGGTCCGGTATTTGTTGGATCCTGGGGTCTTGGATTTGTCCGGAGTTTGGAGCAGCCTTACGACTAATTCGTAGTATTGTTTGGTTTGACCTCTTCACCTACGGTATACCTTCATAGTCTTGTTGATGGGGAAGGTGCCAGATTGCATGACGTGTCCAGTGTCAACTTGTAGTAGAAAGAATAGTTTGACGATGCTTCAACGGATGTTAAAAGACTTCAGTGGAGTCAAATGCTTGTGTCCAGCAGAAGTGAGCCGAAGCAGAGTGGTGAACCACAGGTTGTATGTCCTGCACGGGCCCAAGTTCCCGACCGGTTGCCAGCCTAGTTTTGAATCCAGTCGATGAACCATACTACCGATGAGTAGCAAGATCATTGCGCAATATATATATATATATATATATCTGGCTTGCTCGACGACATGTTCAACACTAGATCCTGAGTTGGCGCGTCCTGGCTGGATCGCAAAATGATCACTTCCCGTCTCGAGACCAGCTCAATTGGAAGCCGTTTGCAGGACCCTCATTTAGCCCCTAGTATTCGTGACTTGGGATTCGAGCATTTGTTGTATTGTTTTTTCTCTCTCTCTCTCTATATATGTTATATAATTGTAGTATAGATGTGACTATTCAGTCGCTCCCCTTGAACCTACCTTTGGTGTTTGTTGTTGTGTGACCGGGCAAATATGTGACAAATTACTCTGTGTAATTGGAACACGTTGACAAGCACAGGCACATAGCTTTTGTTGTGAGGACTGTACGAAACAAGCCAAACAACACACACACACAAAAAAAAGGAACCAAAAAACTTACATGGGTCCGTGTGGGCCCGTTAGAAAGGGTACCAGGGCATTAAATTGTATTTGATATGCGCGCGTAGGATATCATTCCGAAGAGCTGGCGCAAGTAGCTCGTGGTGCGACTGGTCTCACCTGCGCTGCAGACTCCTCTGATGAAAGACACCTGAGGCCTGAAATGAAACCTGCACTTAGGACGAATCTTTGAGGTAGCAAGTTTTAGAAACCAGCAGGAAGTTCTACAAACTCTGCCGCACAACGGCAAGAGCATTTATTTTGGATACCTTATCGCACTGAGTAGTAAAATCCAATGCCTCACCTCAAACATTTTTTCTCAACGGTGCTTTGCCTGGTAGTTTGGAGATATATGGTTTCGTTTTTTTAGGGGGTGCTTCAATACTCTCAGGGGCCAGCATGCTGAGCGCAAAAACATAAATCAGGAGGGGGGTTCTAGTCTTTGTGCAGAGTCACCTACTTGAAATCTATTTTGGCTTGACGGGATCTTGGGGGCCCGGGGGCCTTACCTTGGGCCGCGTCTCAAAGAAGGTGCAAAACGGGTCTTGGGTTGCCCTGATTTCCTAGGATTTCCTTTGTTTTCGTGCTGTGAAATCACATTTTGGGAGTGGTTGTTGAAATCACATTTTTGGGACATAAACCAACTTAAGGAAGATGGGCCTGACAGCAACAATTAATTGGGGCTGATCCAGTCCAAACTGATTTCTGAGACCCCCCCTGGATGACCCCGAAAATCCCAAAAATACTCAGACCCCCGCCCAGTTCCCCCCCTTGGTGCGGGTATGGTTTGAGTATGTCAGGTGGAGGTCAGTTGCCTCGAATTGAATCCTTTGCCCCCGGGTTGGGACCGCCGGTTGGGTACTTCTCGTTGGATGTTTTTGTTTTTTGGCCTGGGGGGGGCGTCGTCCTAAAGGGAAACCAAAGGGAAACTGTCCATTTATATGGGATTCTCTGTGTAAGCCAAGCCCTGTGCTGCATCCTTTGTACCTTTGCACAGGTGAACTCCGTTTTAAACAAAGCCAGAGTTCCCCCCATGATTTCATTGAAATTCCCAACTTTCAAGCCCCAGGCGCCTGATTCAATTGGCCAAGAGCAGCCGGATGTTCACCAGGTGGATCTTCCAAACCCGGCAAGAACCGCCTCGCCCGAGAAAAAAACAAAAGGCGGCGAATCACCGACTGTGCCGCAACCACACGACAGGGGCATTTTGAGGCTTGCAGCGGTATTATACAGTAGTTGTGCATTCATTGGGGAAGATGTGGAAGGGGCCACCCCCCATTTTGCCATCTCGATTGCCTTTGGGGCCCCTTCCACAGTCTTCCTGGAACGAATGATTTTTTTCGTGGTTGATTCGGGGCTCAGATGCGTTCCATCTTTCCCGGCAAGGTGATCAGGTCCTGAATGGCGCTTATCACATTGGCGTGGATTCGTTGAAGGGACCACTTGTCCTGAAGTGTCAATGGCTTCCGCAGAGATTCATCTTACAACTCCATCTCTACTTTTGGGCTGGTTCAAAAAAAGCATATGCTTGGGCGCTGTTCACTTGCGCGTGGTGGAGAGTGAGAGAGAGAGAGAGAGAGGGAGAGGGAGAGGGAGAGGGAGAGGGAGAGGGAGAGAGGGAGAGACATGGGAAACAAAGAAAGAGCGGGACGAAGCGAGAGAGAAAGAGAAAGACAGAGCCAGAGAGAGAGAGAGAGAGAGAGAGAGAAGGGAAAAGGCGACCAGAAGCGCACTCCAAGCATATATTTTAGTTTTTTCAGCTTTCTCCCCCCCAGCCCTGCCGGACTTTACTTCTAATAAGCGCCATTTGTCAAGTGCTCGCCGCGTTTCATGCTTTTCATTGATTGGCTGAATCCTGGACATGTGCCGTGCGCAACATCCGCGCCACACGCTAATGATTACAGCTCTGCTCACCTCAAGGACATTTTAGGCCACGCATGGGCACATGTTGCATTCACGCAATGCTTTGCCCGTGTAGCTCGCCTGAACCGAACCTGCAGCAGTGTTTCTGTTGATTTATTGCAGCGCGACAGTGTCCACAACATCTTTGTGTTGCTTACAGAGCTTAGAGTGGGTGTCCGTTTCTTGATGTCGCAACTGGGCTGGACTCAACTTCCGCCTTGACTGCCCAGGCGCCGCGCATAGATGGAGGCAGGACTCCCTGACCCAGGGGAAGGGAGTGGATCCCGAATGATTCGGCTTCAGACCTCGCAAATTTGTGTATTGATCTTCGGCGACTCGCTGCCTTCCCTGCAAGGCTAGTTGTACCGTTGGGCAATCAGTGAACTGGGCATGAAAGCGCCGGACACATTGAGTCGTGTCGGAGGTTTCTGGAATCATTGTTTGAGACCGGTATTGCGGGTTGCCATTGTCAATCATGATCACTTTGAATTGCTGCAGTATCAAGTCATGTGCACTTCGAATCACGATCGTGGAGTCAATACGACTTGGACATTCTTAGGAGTCATTGGCTTGTGCAGCATGCTGGAGGGCCACAACTTGGTGCCATCCAGT